CATAAAAATGGGAGATTATTTGTACATCCACATTCCCACCTGTCTTTATTTGCATAGAAAGTGTCTGCACAGGTTACAATCTCAACATCTGCACTTCAACATGTAAAAAAGGCCACTGAAGGCCAGCTTTTGCATTCAATGAAGGCAGACCTGTTTTAGCAACCGTTTGCAGTTCCAACAGTGATGAAAAAGTTAACTTTGTAACCAATCCTCACACTTACACCTTTTGCAGGTCTGTAAAACAAAGAACAGCTGAAGTGACATCATAAGCAACTGCAGTTTCACTTAGTGACTGCTTTGCTTAATGACCAAGCTGATTGTCCCAATTGTGGCTGCTAAACAAGGGCTACCTGTACTTCATGGGAATTTCAAAGATGTAAGTAGAACAGCACCATCAGGCTCTTAACATAACTATACAAGGAACAGTCTCTTATCAGATTTTGAAAAACAAACGAGCCTCACTAATAACCACCAACATTTCTACAATATTTTTTACTCAGAACATTTATAAAAACTTTTTACAGGAAAAATGTATACGGAAATTAACAAAATTAGGCCTGGGAGTCTCTTAGCTAAGACCTGAATGACAAATTGAATTTAAAACAATTTCATTGGCGCAGTATTTTCTGTATGACATAAAACCAATACAATTATTTTGAGAATTGATTGAAAAAATCTTTATTATTCAACTCTATGTCCACCCCCTCCTTGCAATTACAAGCACACAACTAAAATATATTTTTGTAATTTGAGATTACTCCAAGTACAGTCAACAAAAAAATAAGACAGGCATATAAAGTCTGTACACAAACTCAACATGGGGTACACAATTTGCAATGAAGTTAGACATCATACAAAATAAGAGTTTATAAATTGACATGGTCCGGGATCTTATATTGGCTCAATAAGGTCTCTCACGGCGGTCTTGTCTGTGGTCCCCTCTGCGGTGAAAAAAAAAGATAAATTTAAAATTACAGATTGTGATTACTAGCTATAGTTAGCAGTACTCCAGAGATAAGCTCTTATGGGTGAAACTGGTAGGAATTTAGGAGTGAAAAGCATGTTTCAGGTCCTAATAGCCTCTGGGAAACCTTTTATTCAGGTGCAGAAATATGGTATCTACCCATCCTACTCCTAGAAATAAATTTTACCTTGAGTCCATTTTTCCTGGTCCAAAGTTGCCTCTGTCTCCTCCTCTTCCACTGCGAAATCCACCTCGACCTCCACGGAAAGCACCTCTGTCAAAGCCTCCCCGTCGTTCTTCACCAAATCCGCCTCCTAGGAAAACAAAATAGGTTACTCATCTCAAAGCAGAACTATAGATTCTCTTCTTACGTTCAGACCTTTACATGAAAAGGCAAGCTATGTGTTGCACAAAATGATCTTGGCAGAAGACCGTCATACATTTGTGTCCTTCCCCCATCCAAAGCACACAAGAAATCTCATTCCTGTAAATGATTCTTCTCTTGTGGTAAAGAATTGCAGTAAGTGCAGTTGATGAACTCTCTAATACTCACCCATACGTGGTCCCCCAGGCCCATCTGGTTTGGGTGCTTTGCACTGATTGCATTCATTGCGCCATGAAAAATTCATGTTCTCACATGTCCTACAGTAGACATCATGGGAAGTAAGAAAGCCATTACAAATCAAATAAATTCAGCCTTACAACCTTCCATCTCCCCAGCCACACAAATTGCAACGGCTTAAACTTACGGATTG